CTGCACCTCGGCCACGTAAAACGCGCCCAGCACGGGGAAAGGGCGTGTGTCGGGGATATACAGAACACCGGTTTCAAGGTCAACCTTCTGTATTACAGTGTTCCGAGCCCCTTCCGTCGTGTACTCGAGCAAGCAGGGCCTGCTTGGAAAGCGTCCTCGTGCGTGTCCGTCCGCCAGCACGCTGCCCCGCGGTTCTCCCCCCGCAGTGCGGGGAATGTACTTCGTCTTGCGGGCAACTGCCTCGACGACGCCGCCGATCAGAAACGCCAAGCAGCCCAAGCGCTCAAGATCGGCAGCGGCACCAAAACAGCACGTTCCCAGGGCGGACAGCAAAGCTGACATCTGCAAGTTCTCAGTTATCACCATTCGCCGCAAAGTTTTTTCGACCTCGCGTGAAACGGGATAATTGCTGGAGCTTTCCACCACCACATCCTCTTCCTCATCCTCTTCCTCGTCCTCTTCCTCTTCCTCCTCCCCTGACTCCTCTTCCTCTTCGGACTCACTTTCATCGCCCCACTCTGCATTTTCGTCCCTCTCCACCACCAACACACGCACAAGCTTGATCAGTTTGTGCGTTGTTCCGTCCTGGCGCCACTCAGCCTTGCCGAACAAAAGTTTCGCGAAGCGCTTCCAGGCTGCGTCGGACCTACCGGACAGCACAGCCTCAATTGCCTCCCACCGTGCCTTAAAGGCCCCCTCATCGAAGACATAGCGAGGGAGCGATCCAACCATATCAATGCGTTGCTTCATCGTCTTCCAATCCTCAACCATCGTGTTTCTTCGTTCCTCGCTTATGCGCGAGTTGCGCTTCTGCCACGCGTAGAACGCCTTCATCTCTCGTGGAGTGTAGCAGTTGACATAAATATCCAATGCGCCCCGTTGTTTCTTCCACTCCTCATAGTTGCTTTTATCAGGCGACGTCAACACAATTCCACCCCAATACTCTTTGGGCAGCCTATGTGGAGGACAACGTCCCTTAGTCACATCAAAAATGTAGTAACCCGCAACATGCCTTCCAGCCAACGTCTGGACGACCAACGCACCTTGATCAGTGTTTGTGTATTGCACCACGGTCCCTGCCTGTTCTCCTGTTTTGTGAAAAAGGTACATTAACCCGTCCACAAAGTAGGCCACCAAAGGGACCTTCCCACCGTCGTAGTGTAGGAGCTGGTGCAGCACGAAGGACCCCACCGCCAGCGAATTGCCAATGCCGGGCGTTCCAACCACAACGTACGGCCGCCTCAAGAAAATGCTGCCAGCAGCGGTGGGCCAGCCGTCGATATCCTGTTTGAGGACGTTCCACACACGCACCACCTCCTTGCGCACAAACACGTCCTTGAAAGCCTCTCCAAACCCTCCGTACGGCCACCCTTTCTCGGAGGTGAGCACCAGAAACTCCAGCCGCACACCACTGGCCTCTTCCTCATCCTCTTCCTCCTCAATCTTCGCGATCGCGTCGATATCACCTGGATGAGGTATGACATTCACCTCACCCGCACTCCACGCTGCGTGCGGCTCGCTGGAGTTGGCCTCCACCACCCTCATCCCCAGCGGCTCCGCCGCGTGGCCCGACTCCACGTAGCCCCACTTCGCCTCGTGCACCGACCGGTACACCCTCTCTTCCCAAGGCAGTTTCTCCAACTCTTCCCGCCTCTGCCTCGTTTCCTCCTCCACCGCCGCTGCAAGGGCTGCATCGAGCTTCGTCCGTCCAACAGGAGAAACAATATTCTTCTGCGCAAATTTCATCCAGCGCTGAAGAGCGTCCACCTCGTGCTCCACGAGCCTGCGTGCATCTTCAATTGCTTCCTTTATGGCCGTGTAGGACGGCGACGCCAGTATCAGGCGCAGATCATCCTCATTTGCTATAAATGCCTCGGGTTGCGCAACAAAACTCTCAAGAGGGACATTCTCGTTGGCCTCCACGACTCCCCTGCCGCCCAATGTATTACGGAGGAAATCGTTCAGTGCGATCTGAGTGAGTCGTCCTTCTCCCCCAAGCAGTACTCCCTCCACCGTACTGGTGAGGGTCCACGTTGGC